TGCGCGATTGACTATTTGTACCTTAATAACCCTCAGTGAACCTCAGATTACTCATGCTGTTTTTGTCTGTGTTTATAGCTAGTAAAATCACGTAGTGAAGAAGTTAATGACTCGTCCCAGTCTAAAGTTGCTAAAATTCTTGATTAAATGAAGTTGAACAAAGATCCCATGTTGTCAGGAGAGGTTATAGACATTTTCTCGAAGGATATATGGTGATGTAGATATTACTTCCTAGTGAGTAGTGACGTAGAACTGTGACAAATCGAATGCAGTTTTACCAACGTAAAAATGGGCTAATTTAAAAGGTTCCTAGGTTACATTATATTCAGACGCATTAACTCATAATCAACTTCATGTTTTACAGGAGAATAGTACTGTGTATTCATATATCAAAATCTTGCATCACTTATATTTCTTTTCAAATTAGCTATTCCTACAGAGGAGGGGACAAACTTGAGTAGTTTTCACACTGTATGCATCACCGATTATAATTTCAATGATTTAATTTCTTAAATGAAGATATGATCTTCGCACTTTGCCGGACAATTTAAGCAATCGTCTCAGGACCTGAAAAAATCAGGTGATTCAACGGGATTCGAACCCATGACCTCTGCGGTGCCGTTGCAGTGCTCTGACCAACTGAGCTATGAAGTCACACAGTGGTGAGCAGGTCAATATTGTTGGGCTCATGTTTTCTCGTGAAACGAATGTCGTATGAATGTTTTATGCAGTGCGGTGTTTGAAATTAAATGAGATATGATCTTCGCACTTTGCTGTACAATTTAAGCAATCGTCTCAGGACCTGAAAAAATCAGGTGATTCAACGGGATTCGAACCCATGACCTCTGCGGTGCCGGTGCAGTGCTCTGACCAACTGAGCTATGAAGTCACACAGTGGTGAGCAGGTCAATATTTCAAACACCGCACTGCATAAAACATTCATATGACATTCCTTTCACGAGAAAACATGAGCCCAACAATATTGACCTGCTCACCACTGTGTGACTTTATAGCTCAGTTGGTCAGAGCACTGCAGGCACCGCAGAGGTCAGCGGGTTCGAATTCCGTTGAGTCACCTGATTTTTTCAGGTCCTGAGACGATTGCTTAAATTGTCCAGCAAAGTGCGAAGATCATATCTTCATTTAATTTCAAACACCGCACTGCATAAAACATTCATACGATTTAATTTCTTATTATTCAAACTCCCTGATTAACTTCGTTGCATAAACCGTTTTTCAACGAGATTACCCTGTGGTAATCCCTGAGAAAGCTTTGCACTTAGAAAGAACAAAGTAGTCTTATGCCTTGGAAACTTTCTCGTAGAATGTTTTATGTTCATAGTTGATTTTACATCGCATACACATTTTGTGTTTGAGTACTTTTTAACGCGCTAGCTTAAACATGTCAGCACCATCACCTGGACGTTGTTTCATGGTGTTATTAACATATTCAAATAATTCAATGTAATATTTCAGTTCTTGCAAACAACTTTTTGAATAAATTTTCCAAACACATTTTTTTAACTGTACTTTTAAAGCCCCATGCTATATATCCCTAATCCCCTCTCCTCCTGTTGTTCTTCATCAATCAACAGTCCAGTTATTTGAAACTGTGAATTAAACACACGATCTTCTTCTACAAACATGTAACGATACTCCCGGGTTCAAACCATTTACTTTGTTACGATCATTTGGACGACAGAGCGAACAACTTGCTAACGACTGCATACGTTTTATGTTTATAAATGTAGATCGTCCAGGTTGGTTTAGTCCTGAGAAGGACTGTTTTTGTTGTTGTTGACTGACGTTTCGACAACCTTAGCGGTAGTCATCTTCAGAGTCAAATGAGGAGTAAACGTCAGTTTACCCGTATTTGTTATCTGGTTCTTACGGCTAACCTGACAAATACGGCTAACCTGACGTTTACTCTTCATTTGACTCTGAAGATGACTACCGCTAAGGTTGTCGAAACGTCAGTTGACAACAACAAAAACAGTCTTTCTCAGGACTATGCTAACCTAGACGACCTACATCTACAAACATGTAACGATACTCCCGGGTTCAAACCATTTATTATAAACACACAATGATACTTGAAGTGATGCAACCTTGGTCGATGCAATTTGCAAAATACGTAATCTTTCGGGTGAAAGGGAACTTAGTTGTGCACACAATATTGAGAATACAGGAGATGTTGCTGTTTCAATAAATTAATGCTTCATGTAACTCATGTTTCTATGGAGAATTCAAAATGACGTATGATCAAATGACAAGCATCCCCACTCAATATTTACTATGAACACAATTGCATCTTTTGTTGCCAAGGAAGAGATTGAATAATGAAGTCTGCCATATCACGTTAAAAGCATATCTTTCATTGAGCTTACTTTTTCGAATGGCTGTCTATAGTGGCAAAGACTCATTACTCATTAGTCACATCATGCAGGCTTGCGCTGTGGCGAGGCTGCTGGTATTAATTACTACACTCAATAAGTCAAAAATTTAACTATTTAAGTACAAAGGATAAGTCGCAACCGATGTTTCACAACATAGGACGCAAAGTTACAACTTGCATTATAAATAACCACTGAAGTCGCAAGATAGGGAGAAAAACTTGAGGAAGACGCCAGTCTTTTCACAGGTAGCATATCCATGACTCTTCCTTTCCAGTTTTGTTGCTACAATCTTTTTCACATGATCTGCAAAGCCTGCTTGCTTTCTACGTGACATCTGGCTTCCTACTTACCGTCGCAGAATGCCAAACAAATTTCAACTCAGAATAATACAAAATAAATTTTCCTTTGCATATTTAAGATTAAGTACGAGGTATGAGAGATTTGTAATTTGTACATATTATTGCTTCTGCTCTCCTCGTGAAGTAAAATATAAATAAATTACTATCGCAACAGACAAAACTGAGCAATGTTGTCGTAAGAATTTCTTGTTATGTTGAGATGTTTAAATTGTTTGGTCATATCAACTAAAAATAGCTATCAAGTACTGAACAAACTCATCAAAAACATTTGAGACAGAAAAGATAGATAGTAATATATATTTATTTAATGTAGAAATAAAAATTAGAAAAATATAGCGACCTTGTAAGAAAAGGACGATTAACTCAATTAATGGCATAAATACTTTCTTTTTCCATAATTTGAAAATCATTAGCATGATAAGTGTTGAAAATATGTTGTTTTGAAGTATGCTTACTGAAAAGTATTAAACAGTATAAATATATGTTAACTCTACCTGCAAGAGAGCAATTTTCTTTGACAGCCAGTAAAGTAAGAGCGTCAGACAAAAGTTCCTTTTCCATCTTGTTCAAACAAGGAAGGTACGTATACCTGTATAAATCAGGAAACCATTTAAATACAATTTAAATAGGTTTATATATATTAAGGTTTTTTCACAAGTTTCTAAATATATACTGCACATTAATGTTGTTGGGATTTAAAATAAAATTCTATTGTTGAATGATGTTGAGCATGATATTAAGAATTATTCAGACCTAGGTCAATGTTATCTACCGAAGTGAACATGAAGCGAATAACATGACCGATGTCTGAATAATTCTTTTTATCATTTGAAAGCCAAGTTCAATAATTGTTTTATTATTCTTTTCAAATAATTGAAATAATGATGGAACATGCCAATGTAAAACAGTTTTAAAACCTTTGCTTTTTGTCCTTGTTAGATGGTTAATTAAAGTAAATCTGCTTTAAATATTCAGTAATTAAATATGTTCAAAGCCAGCTTCGCTGCTTTTTTAATGTTTCACAATCATTTTTGTTCAAAAGGTTTTACATATCGCTTTTAGAAACTATGGCAAACATCCCTACTGTTTGACTTTCTCAAATTCGGCTTTTACTGTTGTCAACAAAAGTAGAAACTGACTATTATTTGTAGATAAAGCGTCATACCTACAGATATCGAGAATTTTTTGCAGGTAACTGACCATCAAACCCAACATAGTTCACATAGTGAATATTAATAGTGGTATTGGTGACATTCAAATTTTGTTACCACGACAAAGTCTCTGTTTTATTATTTTAAATAATATAATTATTGACTTTAATAATGTTGTCACGCAATCAAACATCTGCCAAGAAAAGTTTTTTCTTCTAATGTCAAAGATCGAACTTGCACCTGAACTTTTAACACAGTGTCCAATAGCCTTCCTCTTGTGATCTGTGATTCGAGATCTAACATTTCATGTATATCTATTATCTTTTTTGTCTTTTTGGTTCTCATTTTAAAAAGCCGTCATTTTGATGGAGACATTTCAGAGAAACAGCGCTGTTCATCGTCATTTATACAATTAACATGGTACTTGGAACTTGGAAGCTTCAATAACAATTGATTTAATGAAGCTCAAAGCCAGAAGATCTGAATCTAACAGAATATCAATGTCTCATGATTTACTAAACTATGACCTAAACTGGAACAAACTATGAATTACTAAATAGTACCTTCCAGTCCCATAGTTTAAATAAATCATATAGTTCAGGTGTGTTGACAAGTGACTTCGATCCTCATGAATTCAAATGCTTCATCAAGTGGCAGATAAAGAACTATTTTAGGTAAATCAAATTATCAAAATTATTATTTTCGTAATTCAAGATGTATTTCGTTTTTCAAATTTTTCACTGTATTGGAGACGTTGTCTTGGCGCCCTCATTTCACAAAATGTAATTATGAACTAATTCAGGTTATTCGATCAGATAAACTATCCCTGTCATTTGATACACAAGCGTGATAACTTTTTCATGTTGAGATGAAATAAGCCTATCCATTTTTTGTGGTGAAGTAACTTCTAGCTACTTCATTTATAAAATTGACATCAATGAACAATTTAAATCCTGAACTTTTATCAAAATAACGCTTCCAGGAAATGCCGAATCAATGAAGTGAGAGACACGTACGAAGTTGTTTGCTGCATTGGTAGACAACCAAATTCAGACATTTGAGTTTTGGCGAAAACCTGCAATTGAGCGGTGATGGTGTCGTCGTTACTGCAGAAGAGACCAGCATTATATGGGTCAAGGCAATCTTGGAATCGGAAAGAACAGCAACTCATTGGCCTAAAGTAAACCTGCCTTTATGTTCCTTAACATTAGGTGAAATGGTGAACTCTCTGATATCCATGTTGCATGTCGTATCGCTGCTGTATTCACAATTGGTAAGCTCATTACAATATGTTCAATATTTTGGCAAGTGACGCCCGTTTATTACAAAATTGCTGAAGTTTTTTCATGTAAAAATACATTTTTCACATTTATATTCAACCCATTTTAGCATGAAAAGAATAATAGTAATTTGTAGACCTGTTGCTTATTTAAGTTTTGAGGTAGTTAAATAGTGAATTTTATATGTAGCTACAATATTCACTTGAATGAAACAATATGAAGAGCAGGCGAAACTTGATCACTGATTTAATTAGTTTTTTTTTTCAAAATAGCTGCAATGTTATTAGGCTTTCATTATGAAATGATTGTGGATATTCTGGGATTTTGTCCCCTGCCCTTTGTATGTGGAACAAACAGACTTGGAAAGACAAAATGTTCAAAAGCCGCACTAAGTCTTGTAGGAAATGGATAAAACTTCTTTTCAGCAGTAAGGGAAAGATTCATCCCCAGGCTATGCAGCAGATCAACTTTGCCTCCCGTGCTCGACGACGTTAAAAGCCCCACAGTTATTGAAAATGTTGCGGTCTCTTTCTACAACAGTGGCAAAGACGGGACATGTGTTTTCGAAACAGCTCCTCGAACGATTCCGATGTTCACAGTCAATTGGGACACTTTAGAGGGATTAAACAATGACCCCAGGTAGATTTTTCCGTATTCATGGAAGAAGTTTGCTTTTTATTGCACTAATGTAATTTTTTCACGTGCTGTAGAGTACTTGGAAGGTTTGTCCTAATTCCCTTTCAAGAAGAAGCAAGAAGTCCTTTCGGAATGGAGAATCAACAGAACGCAGAATTCGAAAACAATGCAATAATGGAAAGAGGGTCTAGGGCTTTTGGGACCATGGTGGCAATTAGCAGATCTGTCGAATACCTCTGCATAACGAGAACTAATGAGCTCTGTCAACAATTTACCATTGAAGCACCGAACATCGACGACTGCTGTTTAAGAAATCATGCACTTTTGGAAGCATTTGCTGAGAAGGTAACTGCCTTATTAACCACATAACATGAAAAAATTGAGCAATAGCCAATGACCACTTGCACAATTATAACATAGGTAATACGGCTGGCAAGTATTGATGATCTCTATCCAAGCAATGCCATCGCTTTTTTCAAACAAACAATCCTGCCAGTGTGGATGAAGCGATTCCAGACCAACCAAGCGCAAGTGTCTCATGCAATGCTTCAAACAGAACAGCCAATTATCGTGGACTTAATAATGAAGTCAATAGAGCACAAAATATCTTGCAAAAACGTATGTAATAAATTCATAGCCCATAGACCAAATTCATAAAGTAATTGTGACATTTCTCATATCTAGTTACTCACTTGCGTGAATCCAAAAGTGACATTTACGTCAAGCTCAAGTGGAGTAAGACTAAATGGAGTAGCAGTGGCACTGAAATGGTTTTTTGCCTTGTTAAAAGATCACGGAGTTCTGTTTCCGAATGAAGAAAGAGTGAGACAAGAAATTAAGTCTCTCGACATTGGGGTGGTCAATGGGCGAAGCCAGTATTTCATACCAAATGCAAATGGTGAAAAGATCAGCAGAGGCTCAGATGGAGTAGAAACTGCTTCCAGAAACTGCTTAATTATACAACAATCTGCATTTGGAAGTGAGAATTCGATTGTTTTTTCGGAAGGCTAGCATTTTTAACTACTAATTTTATACAGATGGAAGCAAGTGCGAAAGGATTACAAATGGAATAGACTGGTTATTCTTTAGCCATGATATGTTAGTTTCAAAGTTGAAAATTTATTTAAGAACAGATGCTATTTAAAAAGAAATCTAAAGTGTATATTGACTAAACGTGTGATTGTCATTGAAAAGCCAAATAATAATAGTCATTATTTTTTTAGCCTTCAACATCTTAGAGACAAATATCGCAAGAGACAGCTTGGGGTCCACCGCCGAAACCAGCATAAATTATTCAAACACAGCGTCTACAACTGAAATGGAAATTGGTAAACGCAGCAGACCGTCAACATCTGGAACCAGAAGATACAAATCAAACACACCGTCCACATCCGACAATCAAAATGGAAGAACAAACACATCACGTGACGTAAATGCAAACACCACGCAAAACTAAAATACATCTTGAACGATAACTTCTATAGTTTTGTCCCATGACTGGCTAAAGCCAAAAATACATCTAAATTTTGTCAAGCTCCCCCTGAAGTAATGTGTGTTTTTTCGGCGGCCGATGTTTGCTTTACTTCTTGGCAGTGGAAAACAATGAAAAAATTGATTTATTGTCGTTTTTTACACATTTCTGCTTTGAAATTGCAGCTAGCATGCCACAGCAAGATATTTTGAGGAGAAACATATTCAGCAACAATGGAGGATGATTTATCGACAAACTAATACAACTCTGCAAGACGAAACTGAATGTTAAATCATGACACACAATTTTTCGTAGTTGCTGCCTGATGCGTGGCAAAACAGTATTCTTGACATGACTCGATCCATCCCCCCACGCGACCTATATACTTGTGAAATCTCGATTTGTGTCTGTCTGTTAACAATTCCGGGGGGATTTTTACGGAATGAGGGGGAGCGCACAATCACAATAAAGTAGAACCTTTCGGAACTTCTGTAATTTTGTGTTTGACTTTAAATGTCTGGAATTTGAATAGATATGAGGTATAAACAACGCAATACAGTAAGATACTAAAATTGAGTGATCATTCATGACATTTAAGAAATAAAAGATGTTTACTGTGTTCATCAAGGGAAATCCACTGTAGGGAAACCTCTGGAACCAGTTTCGGAACTTCTGTAAGTTTCTATTTGATTTTAAACGTCTGAAACCTGAATAGATATGAGGCATAAACAACGCAATACAGTAAGATACTAAAATTGAGTGATCATTCATGACATTTAAGAAATAAAAGATGTTTACTGTGTTTGCACAGGTTTATGCAAAGCGAGGAGACCTTTGGGAGAACTCGAGAGAAGATCTGTGCAAGCCCGCGACCGACGGTCGTGGGGACGCGGAGCTCGGGGAAATATTTAGGTCCCGGATGAATGTAAACAAATATATTTTTGCTAACTGCTTTCGAGTTTCGGCATAGGCGCCCCAGAAAGAAATCTGCTTGCGTTTTTTTCATTTTTTCATGCAATCGATTTATGTAAATAGTACTAAATATATACCTTGATTCATGCACAATGTTTGTCACGCGCACTGTCTTGCGTGACTTCCACGTATATATGGTCCTAAAGGTTTTATATTTTGACAAGTTTTGCAACTCTCAATATAGGTGGCCCAAAAATCACTTTTAAATAGTTTAAAAAAGCGAAAACTCTCCCCATTCCATCGTAACAGACCGTGGAACGCAAACTTTGTATAATTGATTGTATCTATATTATATATTTACCAAATGTAGGCAACTATCATGGCAGTTACGAAAACATGCCTTTACATAAAGTAATCATACGTAAAAAACAGACAAGAAATCCAAATAATAATTATATCACTAAAAATAGGAAAATTTTTCTTCATGAATCCATACCTAGCTTTGAAAAAAGACGACAAAAATCCCGAAAAATATGCGTGAACGTTTTAACTTGTTTGTAAAATTTTTCTGTCTCCATGCTGGATGCCTCATATTGGTGCATACGCTATTATTTTAAAAAAGACTGTCAACTGCAATTGGCTAAAAAATTAAATCACGATCTAAAATTACGATATATTCTATTTACCGAGCCAAAGATTCGAGCTCGGAATCGAAATTCAAATCGTAAATCGAAATTCAAATCGTAAATGAACTCAATATCTAATTTGGCATCGAACTGAAAATTGATTTTTCCTTAGATATGTCAGATAATCTCGGAGTGTTCTGCATATCCCTACTCGACCCTTCTCCGCTTGAGATAACAACTTCAGAATACAGTCTCTTTGTCATTGTTTGAATAACAAAGGTAAAACGTTACAAGATAAAACTTATAAAAGCTATGTGCTGCATGTGTACGTCATGGACGCTTATCTGAAAAAAAAATGTAGTATGACGTAAATCATGCATGCATAATGTGCATTGACATCTCACAATCTCACATTAAGCCTGCTTTCCACTAGCCACGTGTCGTAACGTATCGTGGCAAAGCTCAACATTGCGCATGCGTGCTTGCACCTTTTGTTCATCAAATTCATAAGCACGCATGCGCCCTGTTACGTTTTGCTACGAAACGTTATGATAAGTGGCTAGTGGAAATCAGGCTTTAGAATGAAGTTAGGGGGCGCAATGAAAGAGTGAGCACTGCTAAAGATCGACTCATATTTTGCATTAATTAATTACCAATAGCTAAGATATAAATAATCAATTCTAAGACAGCCAGAATACTGCAGTGCTGCATTGCATTTCTCGGTTTTAAAATAGATGAAAAGTTAAAATAAAAAGGAGTTAAAGACCTGTAAACCAAAAGAGGAGTGGATTGCTTGACGGAAGGAACGCAAAAAGATGTTGTTTGTTTCACAAGGTAAAATTTTTTATTTTTAGCGCTATGGATTTTAGACAAACAAATTTTAATATTGCAAACACGTTGCAAATTCGTGAAAAAGAATTTTGCGATTTGTTTTAAATAGCCAGATCTTTGACTTGGAGCTCCAATTTCGTATCCTCATTAGGTATCCTCTAAACTTACGAAGAAAAGAAAAAATAGTTCAAGAAATCGATTGTGACAATATTTACTATTGTATTTGCGTATAATAAAAACAAAAAAGTCAAAAAATCATAGTTGGCCACTGTATCGTAACATCAAGGAATCGATTTTGCCCCCAAAAATGTGTGCCGTATTTTGGAGTATAGATTATATTCACTGATTATATTACGATGTCACCTCTAGTATTGTTTATAATCTCTATGATTGACAATACCACTGGTCAATCTCATACACAGTTGTAAGTTTGAAGATTCTGAACAAATACTAAAGCAATAAATTTTCTTTTTGTCTCTGTCATTAGTAAAATACTAAAACCATTTATTTCTCCAGTAATTTATTATAATAATCAAAGGTTATATGGACATTGTAAGTTTACATATTTAATTTTAAGTAGTGTTTAGCTTTAATATAAACAACTTTTACTGAGTTGTAATGTTCTGATTATTTTGAGAATAATTCTGTTCTTATATATACTTTTGTCCAAAGGTAAAATTTCAGCAATGGCTACAAATCGTCGTTTATTCATTGAAGGAAGATATGTCCATGAAGAACTGCTTCCCATTTTAAAACACTCTACTGATTTAAGATGTTCACCTTTATCATCCACACCTCCCATGACAACAATTGTACCACCAGTTATAACTGCACAACACCCGGATCTGTTTTCCAACATTGATGGTAAGACTGTAATCTTTCCTGTATTACAGTCATACATAATAACACTGTTCAAACTTTTTTCTCTATCATCAGAACCTCCAAGAAGAACAACTTGATCTCTCCATTGAACTGTTGCCAATTCAGTTAATGGATGAGGTAATGGAGGCATTTCCTTAAATGTAAGAGTCCTTGGATCAAACTCCAAAACACTGGACAAAACTTTGCAATCTTTTTCCGTTCCTCCAAAAATAAGAACTTTATCATCAACAACAACAGCTCCATGCTTATACCGTGGTTCAGGCATATCACACAACTCTTTCAAAACATGAGATTTTGTGCCATAAATCTTTATTTTACTGATGAAATCTGTTTTTCCTTGGCCATAATCATCTCCTCCAATGAAAAAGATTTGTTGTCTACAAACAACAGTTTGATGACCCCAACAATGATAAGGAAGCTTTTTGTGAAATGTCTTCCATGTCAACGGTAACTGTTTTATATTCAATGTCTCCGTTGACTTCCCACCTCCAAAAACAAATAAATTATCATCATAAATAAATGATGAATCCCACATGTGTTCATTTATCATTGATGCAGTTTGAAACCATTTCTCCTCCTCCCATGAGAATATTTCAACACTTTTTAAGGAATCATATGGGTAACCTCCAGCAACCAAAATATCACATTTTACTGAGTTCATCAACATTTCAACTGGTGATGTTGATGTTTGAACATGTTGTTCATTTATATTCATCTTTTCGAACATTTGAAACATCATGGCTTTCATTTCTTTCATTTCTTTGGTCACTGTAGAAAGGTTTTTTTGAACATCTTTTATTTCCTGGGTCACTGTAAAAAGATTTTGTTGAACATGTTTTATTTCTTTCCTTGATTCTATCATTTCTTTGGTCACTGTAGAAAGATTTTGTTGAACATCTTTTATTTCTTTCCTTGATTCCATCATTTCTTTGGTCACTGTAGAAATATTTTGTTGAACATTTTGTATTTCTTTCCTTGATTCCATCATTTCTTTGGTCACTGTAGAAAGATTTTGTTGAACATCTTTTATTTCTTTCCTTGATTCCATCATTTCTTTCTTTAATTCTATTATTTCTTTCATAGACTGACCACATACAACATCAAACTGTTGATTAATTTTTCTACTCATTTCAGTCAGTTGCACTTTCTCTTGTTCCTCATGATCAAAACTTTTTTCAAACATTTCTCTAATCTCTTCAAAGTCGTGAGAAGGAATCTTTCTGTATTCACATAACTCAGTTTCATGTTTAATCTTGTCTCGTTTGTTTATCTCCTTGTCACAACGTTCATTAGAACACAACACTGGAGCAAAACCACAATTTTCAACATGTCTTTCAAGATCTTCAACGTCGACAAATTCTGAACAACCACGATTAGCGTAGTCGCAGCTTATCTTGAACTTTGAAATCAAGTTATTTACGAAACGCGCTGGAAGAAGTGTAGCTACAGTCAATCTCTCTTGACATTGAGGACATCTTTGTGCATTAACTCGTAGATGTTCTTTGATACAATAACGACAAAAAATATGTTCGTTATGTTGACACATTCTTGCATCTCTAACGACGTTAAGACAAATAGAACAGTAAAAAGTTTCATCAACAGCAGTCTTAAATCTTGACTCTTCATATCCACTTTTATAATCATCTGGACGATAAGCCATTTCATACGTTTTCTCATATAATTTGATGTTAAAATTTATCCAAGTGTTGAAGACAAAACAAAATAATGCATTGAAGTAGATTTACAAAAGACATGAACAGTTAAAACAATATTTTATGTAACAGGTGCAATCGCGTAAACATGCTCACCATAGTGACGGTTATCGATTGAATAATTAATTACTTTGCTATCTTTACTTTATACAACGCAGTTTTATCCTGTGGATAGCTATCCACTGTATTGAAGACTTTTCCATTGGATATTACTTATCCATTAGATGTTTTATCCAATAGATAAATAATGATACATTTGGCCTTACGACTGAATTCACTGTCTGTCTACGTCACTGATGGTGTATATGAAAAGAAGATCTTCAGAACTAAGTCTGTTAAAATATTTCAATACCTGCAGTTGCGGCGCCACTTTACGTATTTTTCATTTCTTAAATTGCCGGCTGAGAATGCCCCTAGACCCTCTAAACGTTTTTTAGTTATCAGACTGTATGTGAACTCAAAGACATAGTTAAACCATACGTAATGAAATATTTTATATCGGAATCACTTCATCAACTTTTTTTAAAAGGTTGGTCAGAATCAAGTTTGGAATAATTTTTCTTACAATTTTAGAAAAGTCAAGGTTGAAAGCTAAAAACAAAACGTACGACAACTTGTTTATGGAACCCAGAGGTCTCTTAGTTAAATCTCGTTGAGGTAGTCGTACTTGTAATAAAATATGAAGATTACTGTTTTCACAGGGGGGCTGATAAGGGGTTTTTACTTGTTCCGTTCGCAACCACTACAATCACCTGTTCTCATTTCTGATTAAGGATATTTCATGGGATATTAGACCAATGATTTAGACTTAAAAATGACTTCGTGCCATTTTAGTTGTTTGGAAAATGGGAAAACGACCAGTTTTGTGGTACATTAAATTGTAATAGTCTAAAAGCAGCACAAACATGTTTCTCAAAAAATGAATGGTTTAAAACACTAAAAATTACGATAAAAAGAAAAACGTATTTCAGCGAACTGATTGTGACAATATTAATTATAATATTTATTCCTGATATTTACAGACAATCACAGCCTGCCACTCTAACTGAACATCTGGAACTCGATTCTGCCCCTCAAAGAAACGTGTTCCATTACTTTTTGGACAATAGACTGTATCACGATGCCAAGTCTAGTATTATTCATAATCTCTAAGCAAACAACTTGTTCAATTTCTAAAGATATTTTATACCCCTTTTAAAACAGTGTCAAAAAAACTGGACCTTCTGGCTCGTTTTATACGGCGAAATACATGCGCAGATTGCATAAATAAGTAAAGGTAAAGAGAAATTTTAGTTTTTTCCTAATTTCTTCAATGTTTTCTGTACATTTAAAATTTGCTAGGTTACCATTATTAAGGTACCATTCATTAAAAACTTTGGTTGTAATGATATTGAATCATTATACTGCAGATGCATAGGTTCGTATTCAACTTGATAGTAGAAGAAGAAAAGGAGAATGTATTCACATATCAACATCATACATTACTTAATTTTTCAAAACAATTATTCTGACAGCAAGGAAAAACATGATTAATTTTAATAATTATCAGGCTGCTACTTCACCGATTGTAATTTCAATCTAGTAATTCTTTGACACAGTATAGAATCAAACAGTAGTCCCACTCTATAAAATTTTTTTGTGTAGCGTAAATCTTATTACGCATGTGATTAGCATAACCGCAGCCAGTCAATTGCTTTTTTTGACCAATAGATGTCTAGCCGTATCCAGTAATCCAATTAAATATACAGCACCAATTTGGCTAAAAAATGTAAAGTCGTCGTTTTTGCATGATAATCGCAAAACTATGGTACTGGGTCAATATCACAGAAATAAGTATATTTACGTAGAATATATATATATATTTTTTGAGGCAAATTCGTTTTTAGGCGCAGATTACTGCACCAATCACAGACGTTATCACAGGCGTATAAATTGTGTTTTAATAACAATTTTGTCTTTCAGATGTTCCTGAAATGTTGAGTGAGAATGATATGTTCAAAAAATATTCTGATGATGAAGATTCTGATGAAGATGATTTTGATAACAATTTCACCAGAGGATTTCTTGACGACTTTTACCGTATTCGCAAAGACGTGACTGAAAAATTAAAACAGTAAGTAAAAATCCACTTGAGACTTGTAAATAACTTTTAAAAATGCTTGCAAAGGTTTCTTGTCCAAGCATAAGATACATTCAATTATAAGTTGTATTTACATTTAAAAAGTCGTGAAGTATAGCTACGTAATTAGGCACGACAAACGTTTTCTGTAAAATATAGAATGAATTCAACCATTTCTCGCACTTATGATTTAAAGCAGTGACTGACGCGTGTTTAATTGTTCCGAAAAACGTTTTTTTATTAAGTTTTTTGCTTTTAAAAACATGCGAATATGAAATTTCAATTGTTATACAACGCTATATTTTAGTAAAAGTCACACAGTTTACCGAAAATAAATGTCTTTTCCTACTTGATGTATGTTCTAAATAAGGAATTATTGTTTTGTAGATTTTCTTGGATAAATGGATATTGCGGGATAACATTCAACCCAGAACCACGTTTGTATGTGACTGTAGTAAAGGAGGGAAAAAATTATGAAGCTTCTTTGAAGAATGAGATCAACGACAAATTTGGATGGAAAGCGTCTGATTATATTGATTTTCGTTATGCCAATAGCTCATTACCGAGAATTCGATATTTGTCAAATCAAGGTAAAAGAAAATAAATGTCATAATTCTATGAATGTAGGTTATGAAGGTTTTTTTGGTACAGTGACAATGGTTTGCAGAAAGAATCGTTAAGAATCTATGTACATCTGCTTTACGAGAGTTTAAATGTTAATGGGACTGAACCAAACCTGGAGACGATATTATTAATATGCTAGAGAACATATCTGCATTTTACTCGTTGAACTATGATACATGAAACACTAGCTGTAGTAGATAATCCTAATAATTAAACCAAGTTAAATTTTACATCCAAACACGCGAGATTTTATCACAGACGCGCGTCTTTACTGTTTAGCGATTCTGTCTCGGCGAGTGAATTGTTTTAACTGCTGCTTTTTCGTAGAGAAAATCACAAAGCAACCGGTGTTGATTAAGAAAAGAATGAAAAACAAAAACATAAGGTGTTTCGGGGGTATAGTTTTTATTAAAATACGAAACTATAACAACATTTGATACGTACCATGTTTGTAGATGTAGATCGTCCAGGTTAGTATAGTCCTGAAAGGGACTGCTTTTGTTGTTTAATGAAGTTTCGACAACCTTAGCGATAGTCATCTTCAGAGTCAAATTAAAAACCTGAAGATGACTACCGCTAAGGTTGTCGAAACGTCAGTCAAAAAAAACAGTCCTTCTCAGGACTATACTAACCTGGACGATCTACATCTACAAACATGTAACGATACTCCCGGGTTCAAACCATTTACTTTATTTGATATGTTTGATGTGTTTTTCTTGTTATACTGTCAGCCAAGCAAATGTTCAATGTCTTCGCAAAAAATCTTTTACGTACAATTTTGCTTGTTTTTTTAGCGAGCATGTATAATCGTTTACGTGTTTTTCTTTCTTGGTTTTGAGTGTTCTTCCTTGAGTGAACAAATGTTTATCGTTAACAGTATTTCACAGACTGTTAACGACAAATATTTCTTGCTGCTGGCAGCGTTGCATGTATTTTAGTTCAACGGTATTGCTAAGATAAAATTGTATTATTTGTAAATTGCATATTTTAAAAAGAGATAACCAAAGTACAATTATACAAACGAACTTATATACATTATAATTTGGTATCATATAGTAACTACCAGGTAGAACCCAGGAAATGATAAAAAAGTAGCTTTATGTAAAAAGGAAACATGAAGTGATATGTAGCGAACCGAAGATGATACGTGTTTTTTAGTAGGGTAAAAAAATCGAAATTTGGCCAATAGATCTCAGGCCTTTTATTATGTTAAACCATTGAGACAGTATACTAAATATACAGTACAGCCATTCTATTGAATTTTTTCATGTCCCGCATATATTATTACGCATGTGATTACCATAATGACACAATAGGAATTATGAAATGACTAACGACAGCCATTAATCTAATTAAATAAACAGACAGTTGCACAGCGAACTGGACCTACTGTATATTTCCTGTACTGTGCCAGTGAACCAAAAAATTGAAAGTCTACGTCTGTGGAAATTTTTATGCCAGTAGAGCCCAGTCTTCGCACGCAATGTAAGCATGATGGAAACGAAAATTCGGAACGTATGGTGGCAGCAAAACGTAACATGGCGCATGCGTGCTTGCGCCTATTGACCATCAAATTCATAAGCACGCATGCGCCCTGTTATGTTTTGCTACGATACGTTACGATACGTGGCTAGTGGAAAACAGGCTTTAGAATGAAGTTGGGGGGCGCGATAAAAGAGTGAGCACTGCTAAAGATCGACTCATATTTTGCAGTAATTAAGTGCTGCATTGCATTTCTTGGTTTTAAAACAAATGAAAAGTTAAAATAAAAAGGAGTTGAAGACCTGTAAACCAAAAGAGGAGTGGATTACTTGACGGAAGCAACGCAAAAGATGTTTTGTTTCACAAGGTAAATTTTTTATTTTTAGCGCTATGGAATTTAGACAAACAAATTTTAATATTTCAAACACGTTGCAAATTCGTGAAAAAGAATTCGGCAATTTGTTTTAAATAGCGAGATCTTTGACTCGAAGCTCCAATTTCGTATCCTTATTAGGTATCCTCCAAAATTACGATGAAAAGAAAAAAATAGTTCAAGAAATCGATTGTGACAATATTTACTATTGTATTTGCGTATAATAAAAACAAAAAAGTCAAAAAATCATAGTTGCCCACTGTATCGTAACATCAGGGAATCGATTTTGCCCTCCAAAAATGTGTGCCGTATTTTGGAGTATAGATTATATTCACTGATTATATTACGATGCCACCTCTAGTATTGTTTATAATCTCTATGATCGACAACACCACTGGTCAAACTCATACACAGTTGTAAGTTTGAACATTCTGAACAAATACTAAAGCAATAAATTTTCTTTTTGTCTCTGTCATTAGTAAAATACTAAAAACATTTATTTCTCCAGTAATTTATTATAATAATCAAAGGTTATATGAACATTGTAAATTTACATATTCATATTTTAGTAGTGTTTAGCTTTAATATAAACAAATTTTACTGAGTTATAATGTTCTGATTATTTAGAGAATAATTCTGTGCTTATAAATACTTTTGTCCAAATGGTAAAATTTCAGCAATGACTACAAATCGTGGTTTATTCATTGAAGGAAGATATGTCCATGAAGAACTGATTCCCATTTTAAAACACTCCACTGATTTAAGATAGTTAGATTACCACTCTTACCTCCCATGACAACAATTGTATCACCAGTTATAACTGCACAACACCACTGTCTCTTTTCCAACATGGATGGTAAGACTGTAATCTTTCCTGTATTACTGTCATACATGATAACACTGTTCAACGCTTTTCTTCCTTCATCAGAACCTCCAAGAAGAACAACTTGATCTCTCCATTGAACTGTTGCCATGTCAGTCAATGGATGAGGTAATGGAGGCATTTCCTTAAATGTAAGAGTCATTGGATCAAACTTCAAAACACTGGACAAAGCTTCATGATCTTTTCCCCGTCCTCCAAAAATAAGAACTTTATCATCAACAACAACAGCTCCATGGTCAAATCGTGGTTCAGGCATACGACACAACTCTTTCAAAATATAAGATGTTGTACCTGTAATCTTTATTTCACTGATCAAATCTGATGGTCCTTTGTTCTTAATAAGTCCTCCAATGTGAAAGATTTGTTGATTACAAACAACAGTTTGATGACTCCAATATACATAAGGAAGCTCTGTAGGAAATTTCCTCCATGTCAAAGGTAACTTTTTTACATTCAATGTCTCCATTGACTTGCAGTTAAATCCTCCAACAACAAATAAATTATCCTTATAAATAAATGATGAAGCCCAACTGTGTCCATTTTCCATTGATGCAATCTCAAACCATTTCCTCTCCTTAAATGAAAATACTTCAACACTTTTTGCGGTCCAAACACATGAGTCACCTCCAGCAACCAAAATATCACCTTTTACTGAGTATGTCAACATTTCAATTGATGTTGCCAATGTTTGAACATGTTGTTCATTTATATTCATCTTTTCCAATATTTGAAACATCATGGCTTTCATTTCTTTCATTTCTTTGGTCACTGTAGAAAGATTTTGTTGAACATCTTTTATTTCTTTCCTTGATTCCATCATTTCTTTCTTTGATTCCATCATTTCTTTCTTTAATTCCATTATTTCTTTTGTAGACTGACCAGATACATCATTAATTTTTTTATTTATTTCAGTTCTATCTTGATCCATTTTTTCATTTATTTTAACCATCAGCGTTTTCACTTGATCAAAACTTTTTTGAAACATTTCTCTAATCTCTTCAAAGTCGTGAGAAAGAATCTTTCTGTATTCACATAACTCAGTTTCATGTTTAATCTTGTCTCGTTTGTTTATCTCCTTGTCACAACGTTCATTAGAACATAACACTGGAGCAAAACCACAATTTTCAACATGTCTTTCAAGATCTTCAACGTTTACAAATTCAGGACAACCACGATTAGCGTGGTCGCAGCTGATCTTAAACTTTGAAATCAAGTTGTTTACAAAACGCGCTGGAAGAAGTTTGGATACAGTCAATCTCTCTTGACATTGAGGACATCTTTGTGCATTAACTCGTAGATGTTCTTCTATACATTTACGACAAAAGATGTGTTCATTGTGGCACATTCTGGCATCTTTTATGACATTGAGACATATTGGGCAATAAAAATTATCGTTGACAGGGCTTTCAAATCTTGATTCATCATATCCATATGAATCGTAATTATTAGGACGACAAGCCATTTCATACGTTTTCCCATATAATTCAGGATCAAAATTAATCCAAGAGTAGACGAAATTATTTGTTTATCGCATCAAGTTGAAGATAGAAAATACGTTAAAATTCTCCGTCGACGTTTGATAAACACGGAAGTTAAAAGCGAAGAATAACAACGCCTAGTTTTAGATTTTAACATATTTATGTAAAGCAAAGGAAAAACAAAAGATAAAAGAAAATAGTGCAATGAAGCAGATCTACAAAAGACATAAACAATATTTTAAAACATACGTACAATGTGCACACGTGCTTTGCTTTTCATACGCTGTCGGTTGAATAATTTTCAACCTGCTATCCATGCCTTCATCACACACATCAATAAACTTTTGATCCATTTTTCCATTAATTTCATTCATCTGCATTTTCACTTTGTCAACATGAACATAACTTCGTTGAAACAATTCTCTAATCTCACCAAAGTCGTGAGCATCAATATTTCTGTATTCACATAATTCAGTTTCATGTTTAATCTTGTCTCGTTTATCTCCTTACCACAACGTTCATTAGAACACAACGCTGGAGCAACGCCACAATTTTCAACATGTCTTTCAAGACCTTTAACGTTGATAAATTCAGGACAACCTCGATTTGCGTGGTTGCAACTGATCTTTAACTTAGAAGTCAAGTCATTTATAAGACTTGCTGGAAGAAGTGTATATATCTACAGTCAAATTATCTTGACATTGAGGACATCTTTGTGCATTAACTCGTAGATGTTCTTCAATACAATAACGAAAAAAGATGTGTTCGTTATGTTGACACATTCTTGCATCCTTAACGACGTTCAGGCAAATTGAACAGTAAAAAGTTTCAACAACAGCATTCTTAAATCTTGACTCTTCCTATCCACTTTCATAATCTTTAGGACGACAAGCCATTTCATATATCTTTACATATAATTCAGTGTTGAAATTAATCCAAGATTTTACGAAATTATTCGTTTATCGATACAAGTTGAAGATAGAGAATATATTAAAATTTTCAGTCGACATTTGATAAACACAGAAGTCAAAGGCAAAGATTAACAACCCCTAGTTTTGTATCATTTATATGTAAAGCAATATAAAGACAAAAAAGATAAAGTTGTAATTATTCTAGCAGGGGGGAGACGAACTGTAACGTCACCGATTATAATTCAATCTGCAAGTTTATTAGACTTTGCCATTGTTAAGTAATTTTGTGTGGAATATTTCATACTTTGCTCAGGTTATTCGTTTTGAAATCAGGTATGTAATTGCATTTTTTTTCATCTATGTTATGCTAAAACCTACTTTTGTATTTCTGTTGCGATTAGGGATAAAAAACCTAAATAAATGATCAAAACATTCGCACAGAAATTCGCGAGAAATTGCATAGAAACAGTCTGTATTGGCTATATTTGATGAATCCTTCTCTTTTAATTGCTTTTGAAAATTCCAGTAAATCGCTCAGTTTTTATGTTTTCATTCAACGTAGAAGTTTGATGTATCAAATTGTGCTTTCGGTTTGGAACAAATTGAAGGAAATGCTTTCCATGCTTTACTAATTGTGTTTGAAACTTTTTGCACGTAAAAATCAACGATTTTTAAAGTGAAATATGTAGAATGAAGTTCTTATCAGTGTAGTTATGTCTACAGACGAACTCTAAGCATTTGTTATCGACATTGAGCATTTAAGCGAGTGTTCAATTGTATGCTTGAATTGTAGATAATATAGAACTCTTCTAGGTTAGCTGAACATGTAAAATGAGTATTTTATATCTCTAAATTTTAATTAATAAGGATATTTACCGAAGTAAAAACGCTAAGTTCTTTAAAATAACATTAAATAACATGTGAACAAAAGCTTTGATGGTATAGACATCAATAATTGGACTTGAATTTGAATTTATATTTGTATTTATTAAACGTGAACTCTTTTTTTGTAACAAATATGGTTAAATTACAAAGGTTCTAACTAATAAAAAACCATATAACTAATACTATAAGTACATATTTTTATACAAACAATATTACATAGCTATTCCTTAATTCATACTACCAATAAAACAATTTAAACTGGTATCTACTTACTTACTTCAATTCATACTTCGTGTTAAAAAGGCATTTTTAAAACGTTCAGTCTTAAAGCAAGAATGTTTGTAAGATCCACAACTTCTCATATCACCATGAAGAGGTATTCTCTTTAATGAAAGATCATGGACAGCACGTAGACTGACATTGTTTATTATGGCTAGCTTTTCAATTTGCTATCACTGGTTTTAATGTGCATAAAAGGAAGACTACATTTGTATATATTTAGAACAAGTATCATCATGAATGAATATTGATTTTTAAAGCAAAAAATGTTTGCCCCTTTTTAGTGACGAGCTGCCAAACATCACTGAATCATTATTCTGCTGTATGGCCATTGCAAGAAGAGACAAAACGTAAATCTGTAATCATTAAACGATACAAGCCATCATTTTAGAAACAATTTGAAACATATATGCACAAAAGATTATGTTTGATACATTATGCAACATATAGGTATTAGAGTAAGAAGTTTTGCCAATATTTTGGCTCATATTTATGTATTTAGGAAAATTTAGCAATGTTATTTGGGTGAATTTAGGTTTCATACTTCCCCTTATTTATATAATACTTGCAACACTATCCTCTGTTTTTTTTTATCTTATAAAACTACTACTAAATGGTTTCATTTGTTTAGATGGCCTGATTGACCAATTAGGAATGTTGCTCATCATAACAAAAGCGTAAAAATCACATGGCTCAATTTTGAAACATTCATGCTCCCCCATGTTTGGATAAGGCCATACAAATACTGAAATGGTTTAATCACTTGAGCAAAGTGTACGCCTTAGCTGGCGTCTTGTTCTATGAAGCTTGTCTTACTGACACTTTTTAAAATATAAATTGTAGAAATGCTGTCATGTGAAGCTCCTGATGCTGAATGCATCACATCTCTAGCTGGTGTTATAAAGACAAAAGAAGGTATTTCTTATATTTTATTTTATCTGTAATTATCTGGCACAAATATGTTCTTATGAACAAGATACAATAATGCTATTTTTTTATTTCACTTTATTTCAAATCATAATCAGTTAGAATGACATGTAGCTACAACCATCCTGTTAGATATGTACACAGAGTTACAGGTGCATTTAATTATTTCAAGATAATTTGTAATGTAATTAGTAAAAAATTGGTTTTAAATGTAACAATAAGTTAAAAAAAGAGTGTGATTTTCTTGCTTTGTTTAAGTTTTTAAGTTCTTTAATAAAATGGTTAAAAAATGTAAAGTCATCGTTTTTGCATGATAATTGCAAAAATATGGTACTGGGCCAATATCACAGAAATAAGTATATTTACGTACAAAATATAATTTTTTGTGAGGCAAGTTCGTTTTTTCAGGCGCAGGTTACTGCACCAATCACGGATGTTATCACAGGCCTTTGAATTGTGTTTTAATTACACTTTTGTCTTTCAGATGTTCCTGAAATGTTGAGTGAGAACGATGTGTCCAAAATATATTCTGATGATGAAGATTCTGATGAAGATGATTTTGATCACAATTTCACCAGAGGATTTCTTGACGGCTTTTACCGTATTCGCAAAGACGTCACTGAAAAATTAAAACAGTAAGTAAAAATCCACTTGAGGCTTGTAAATAATTTTTAAAAATGCTTGCAAAGGTTTCTTGTCCAAGCATAAGATACATTCAATTATAAGTTGTATTTACATTTAAAAAGTCGTGAAGTATAGCTACGTAATTAGGCACGACAAACGTTTTCTGTAAAATATAGAATGAATTCAACCATTTCTCGCACTTATGATTCAAAGCAGCGACTTACAAAGCAGTGTTTAATTGTTCTGAAAAACTTTTTTTATTAAGTTTTTTGCTTTTAAAAACATGCGAACATGAAATTTCAGTTGTGATACAACGCTATATTTTAGTAAAAATCACAAAGTTTACCGAAAATAAATGTCTTTTCCTACTTGATGTATGTTCTAAATAAGGAATTATTGTTTTGTAGATTTTCTTGGATAAATGGATATTGCGGGATATCATTCAAGCCAGAACCACGTTTGTATGTGACTATAGTAAAGGAGAGAAAAAATGATGAAGATTCTTTGAAGAATGAGATCAACCACAAATTTGGTTGAAAAGCGTCTGATTATATTGATTTTCGTTATGCCAATAGCTAAGCAAATAAATTTTGATTAGCATATTCAAAATTAAGACAGTAGATAATCATATATACAGTACCGCTCGCGTATTTGTTAACAAAAATTTTGCGTATGATACGCGTATCGTTTTCGTATCATACGCGTATCGTTCTCGTATCATACGCGTATCGCTCTCCTATCATACGCGTATCGTTCTCGTATCATACGCGTATCGTTCTCGTATCATACGCGTATCGTTCTCGTATCATACGCGTATCGTTCTCGTATCATACGCGTATCGTTCTCGTATCATACGCGCGTATCGCTCTCATACGCGTATCGTTCTCGTATCATACGCGTATCGTTCTCGTATCATACGCGTATCGTTCTCGTATCATACGCGTATCGCTCTCGTATCATACGCGTATCGCTCTCGTATCATACGCGTATCGTTCTCGTATCATACGCGTATCGCTCTCGTATCATACGCGTATCGTTCTCGTATCATACGCGTATTGCTCTCGTATCATACGCGTATCGCTCTCGTATTATACTTGTATCATTCTCCTATCATACAAGTATCGTTCTCGTATCATACGCGTATCGCTCTCGTATTATACTTGTATCATTCTCCTATCATACGTGTATCGTTCTCGTATCATACGCGTATCGTTCTCGTATCATACGCGTATCTTTCTTGTATCATACGCGTATCGTTCTCGTATCATACGCGTATCTTTCTTGTATCATACGCGTATCGCTCTCGTATTATACGCGTAACGTTCTCGTATCATACGCGTATCGTTCTCGTATCATACGCGTATCTTTCTTGTATCATACGCGTATCGTTCTCGTATCATACGCGTATCTTTCTTGTATCATACGCGTATCTTTCTTGTATCATACGCGTATCGCTCTCGTATTATACGCGTAACGTTCTCGTATCATACGCGTATCGTTCTCGTATCATACGCGTATCTTTCTTGTATCATACGCGTATCGTTCTCGTATCATACGCGTATCTTTCTTGTATCATACGCGTATCGTTCTCGTATCATACGCGTATTGTTCTCGTATCATACGCGTAACGTTCTCGTATCATACGCGTATCGTTCTCGTATCATACGCGTATCTTTCTTGTATCATACGCGTATCTTTCTTGTATCATACGCGTATCGTTCTCGTATCATACGCGTATCTTTCTTGTATCATACGCGTATCTTTCTCGTATCATACGCGTATCGTTCTCGTATCATACGCGTATTGTTCTCGTATCATACGCGTAACGTTCTCGTATCATGCGCGTATTGCTCTCGTATCATGCGCGTAACGTTCTTGTATAATACGCGTATCGTTCTCGTTTCATACGCGTATCGTTCTCGTATCATACGCGTATTGCTCTCGTATCATGCGCGTATCGTTCTCGTATCATCACAGATCTAATAATGCACTAGATAGTGCAACTGACATACAAGTTGAAGCCGGCAAATTTACTTCCGGAGCCCCAAAGTAGTGAGAATCAATATGGCGTTGTATTAGAAAATATGTAGTCCAAGTTAATATCTCGCAATTATTAGCAAATCGCGGAGGTTGCATCAACTTTTTTGCACTATTTATGAAATAAATCATTGTGACTATAGTTTGTAAGAAAAAAATTGCAGAATACGCCAATACATCGCCGTAAAATTGATTTCAAGTGTAGCTCGATTTGAAAGCATCAGCAGCGACGAAGGCTTAAGTACTGGAATTTGCACATCTAAATATCGTATCACAGCACAATCTGCGATAGTGTGGCTTAGTTCGTGTGGCAAATACAGCGATATCATACTCGATCTATGGATGTATTGTAATAGAACAGGCATATTACAAAAATCAGTCAGAAATTGACACATGTTACAAGCACAAATTAAATATTTTGCTCAGAATAAATAATTTAGGTTTGAAATTTTCAATAACAAGAATGTGTAGAAAGTTTTATATGCATATACATGCCTGAATGGTAAAAAAGACAATAAAAATGTTGAAAACAGTAGCATAACATCACCATAACAGTACATTAAGCACTGTGGGCAGTGGCCATATAACCCACTGGTTTAGACTATGACAATCCATTGTTTATATATATGTGTAAAACACAGTCAATACTACAAGTCTGGTGACTCTTCTTGCTTTAACAAGTAAATATTTTCCCCGTGTTGGACAGAGTGTATTGTATCAACCTGTGGTATCAACAGTTTCACAAGTGACCTGCTATTTTATACTTCACAAAAAATTTGGTGTAACAGAGGTAGACTCATAATATAAAACAAATTCCGAAGAAGCAAGACAGACTCTATTACAAAGACAAGCAAGACATAGACAAGACATAGACAAGCAAGACATAGACAATACATCGACAAGCAACACATAGACTCTTCGAGGTAGACTCTTCACATTCTTTCTGTAAATAATTTCTGAACGTATTAATTACTCACATCTTGACATAGCTATATTCGTTTACCGACCAGAAACACCAGAAAAATGCATTTCTGGTACAATAATCCAGTGCAATATTTAATTATGTACAGTGAACAATATACTTTAAATAAATCGTGAAAAATCTTTCAAACCGTTATCTCCAACTCGTTTTACTTAACAATAAATATCGGAGGATAATTCTACGACGTTCGATTGAACATTTTGTGGCAGATTGTGCTGTGATACGATATTTAGATGTGGAAATTCCAGTATCTTAAGCCTTCGTCGCTGCTGATGCTTTCAAATCGAGCTACACTTGAAATCAATTTTACGGCGATGTATTGGCGTATTCTGCTATCTTTTTCTTGAAAAACTATGGTCACATTGATTTTTTTCATTAATAGAGTAAACCAGTTTATGTAACCGTCGTGACTTGCAAGTAATTGCAAGATATCAGCTTTGACCAGATATTTTCTAATACAACGCCATATTGATTCTCACTACTTTGGGGCTCCGGAGTAAATTTGCCCGGCTTCAACCACTACTTATGAAATGTAAGCCGTTGCACTATCTAGTGTATTATTAGATCTGTGCGTATCATACGCGTATTGCTCTCGTATCATAGGCGTATCGTTCTCCTATCATAGGCGTATCGTTCTCGTATTATACGCGTATCGTTCTTGTATGATACTTGTATGTTTTTCGTATAATACGCGTTTCATACGCGTACCGTATGTTAACAATATGCGAGCGGTACTGTATTTATTTGAACAAAGGCTTATCAGCTTAAGACAATTTTATGTCTGCCTTTGCCGATGCAACTATTATGGTACCATATAGTGACTCTGTTCTCACCAAATTTGCCACAGAATGCTTTAGGTGGGAACAGTGATATGAACTATAAACTATGATGAAACACTGATAACACTGAGGTGAAGAATCGTTTAGTATTTTGTAGCGAGCATTTATTGCATTACAGTAAGAGATTATTTCAAAGTCTGAAAGAGAACTCCGAAGGAACATATTCTATCTTCTGGTGATAGATCATTTAGCACGCTAAGACGAGGGCACACGAATACACTGTTGAATGTAACACCTTAAACATTTAACATAATACGGTTGAAATGTGCGAGATTGACTATTTGTACCTTAACAGTGGCGTAGCTAGCGGTCCCGCTACTCCCGCCCGGCGGGAGTAGAAATTTCCCAAAAAAATAATAAATATTCTATTTGGACATAAGATATACATTATTTCACGAACAATTTGTAATATTATGTTTTATTCGTTCATATTTACGCTTTTATTAGGTGGTTCGTAATCGTAATACAGCAAAATCTCAAGATTTGTTATGTAACCTAGCAACCGCCTTTTCTCGCACATTGCATACTCGCGCGATTCTCCACGTATTCCGCCCATCTTCAGAGGGCGGAACATACAATATAATTCTATATAAGAAGTTTTGAATTCTGGTTGGCTAAGGGACTTGACGCATGCTCAAATCTGCTGTTTTATAGTCGAACTCCCTATTTTAAATTGGCGGAGGTTGTAATTATTCGACCTTTTAATACGAGTACAGCGATTAGTGATTATCAAATTACGTGTCATTGTCGGTATTAATTTTCCATTGTGTTTACTCTCAAATTGCTATTTTGTATTTGTGTATGACACAATGGCTTCAAGTGTGACTGCGATTTGCTCAACTGATGTTGATTTAGTAAATAGCTTATTAGCTAAACCGTTCTCTGCTCGATCGTCGGTCGAACAGAATATTATCGTTCATGAACGGCCTACTCCTGATTTAACTATCCAAAATAAGGAAGACCATTTCAGAGAGATTGGTATGAGGCGAAGGACTGGCTGTGTGGCAGTACAACCTTGCAGAAAGTGTTTTGTTGGCCATGTCTAATGTTTTCCCCAAAACATCGCCATCGTGGACTAAGAATGGCTACAACGATATGCGGAGTATTATGTCTGATGCTAAGAAGCATGAAAAATCTAAATCGCATTTGACTGCATTTAAGACATGGAAAACGTATGGAGCTAGTGAACGAATTGATTGTCTTATGTCCCTCGCTAGAAGAAATGAGATTCAGCGTCACAATGAGGAGGTAAGACAAAATCGAGAAATTTAAAAACTGTTACTGAGGCCGTGCTGTATTTGTCAAAGCAAGAGTTGCCATTTAGAGGTCACAATGAGTCCGAAGGTAGCTTGAACAAAGGTAATTATAGAGAGTTGCTCGAATGTTTTGCTAAGTTTGATTCTGTATTTGAGCGTCGACTGCACAGTAGACTAGCAGAATCTGATATAGTTGGTGACAGAAGATTTACTGGAGTCTCCCCAGAAATTCAAAATGGTCTTATCAGCTGTCTTGATTCAATTATTGAAGATGAAATCAGAAAGGAAATAAATGATTGCACATTTATGAGTATTCAGGTTGATGAAGCATCTGATGTCTCCACCAAAGAGCAGCTAAGTGTTATTGCTCGGTTTGACAAAGAAAGTGAAATTATGGAGAGGCAATTAGGATTTGTGGATGTAAGTATGAACAGAAATGCCACAGCAATATCACAAGTTGTCAAAGATAAACTTGGTGAGTATTCTAATATAAAAGAAAAACTGGTTTTACAAACATATGATGGTGCTTCTGTCATGTCTGGCCATATCAATGGTGTTCAAGCATTGGTTCGACAAGAGTATCCTTTTGCTCATTTTGTTCATTGTGCAGCTCATAGATTGAACCTGGTCCTATGCCAGTCAGCCTCATCAATTTCTCCTGTTAAAATCTTTTTATTAATATAGCTACATTCAGCACATTTACAAGCAATGCCCCAAAAGAAAAGCTTTTCTCACATCTAACAACCTTGAGTTTCCTGCCCTGGTGAAACAAGATGGTATTATCGCTCTAGATTAATCAATGTATTGCACAAAACTATGAAAAACTTTTAGATATTTTTGAGGGGTACTTGAACAACCAGCTGGGTGGGATGATGAGTCATTAAGTAAAATAAGTGGCTTACTGCATTATCTTGATAGCTTTCTCTTTTGTTTTCTAGTGTGTGTTTTTTACAGGATTTTAGAACAGTCCACAATTTTGTATTCCATTCTTCAAAATAGGGAAACACATTTTAACTATGGCATAAGCAAGATTGACAATTTCAAGCAGTTTATTGTGTCACTTCGCACGGATCAAGCTTTCACCGAGTTTTACCAAACTGCACAAGAAAAAGTAGGCCCACCAGCAACCAGAGCAGATAGTAGATACAATTACAAACAGCTTTATTTTGAGATTATTGATTCCATTAAAGGCATGTTAAGTGAACGATTTCAAGATATTAATCAGTTCGAGTTTTTAGACCTTGTAAATCCTAAACTATTTACTACATGGAAGGGCATAGTTCCACAGGAGAAGATCAATCTTCTCAAAGATAAGTATAGTCCTCTTTTTGACATCCAAACTTTGGAGAGTCAACTTTCCTTCATTTACAACGACAAGGACTTTCACAAAGAGTGCAGTAATGAGGTTCTTACATACATCTTCAAATTTAATCTCCAGTCGAGTTTAGGTCAAGTGGTAAATTTGTTAAAATGGTGTGTTGGCAGTGGCAAGTGCTTCAGTAGAGAGGTCGTTTTCTTGCTTAAAAAGGGTAAAAAGCTATTTAAGAAATAGAATGGGTCAAGGTCGGCTTAGCTCTTTGTGTAGAATATCTATTCACAAAGATATCATTGAAAAGAAAGAGGAATCAGAGGTGTTGCATGACGAGGTGGTTGAAAAATTTGTAGAAAAACCCAGGAGGCTGGCCTTTCTTTATAAATGATGAGTATAGTATGTGTTTTGATATTTGTTCGTATAATACATGGTACTTCATTGAGAAAATTAAGCATAACTTTAAAGAATAAAGCCATCCCTGTCTACTTGCCCCAATCTAAACAAGTTTAAACTAACAAGTAGAATGCTAAGAAAAATCTCTCTCTATGCACTTTAGAAGTGTCGTATACTATATTATTTTTGTGCTAATACAAATTTCTTCTGTTTATGCAGGGGCAGTGATGAGTAAATTATGTTTTAGGGACAATTGTCTCCTGCGTAACGTTTCTCTGAGCCACCTTTAGTACCTTTTAACTAGTTGCAGTTTCAACGATTGCCACATAAAGAATGCAGCTAACAAAATGGGTTTTATAAATTATTGTACAACAAATAATTCGCCCTCGAAATCGCAAGAAATGCTGTTTCCAAGGCTCTGGATTTCAAAATTTTCCGGGGGAGCATGCCCCCGGACCCCCCCCCAGTGGGGTCGCGCCTCCGGCGCGAGATGGATTGGCGGGAGTGACTATTTTTCCTAGCTACGCCACTGTACCTTAATAACCCTCAGTGAACCTCAGATTACTCATGCTGTTTTTGTCTGTGTTTATAGCTAGAAATATCACGCAGTGAAGAAGTTAATGACTCGTCCCAGTCCAAAGTTGCTAAAATTCTTCATTAAATGAAGTTGAACAAAGATCCCATGTCTCCGGAGAGGTTATAGACATTTTCTCGAAGGATATATGGTGATGTAGTTAATATTACTTCCTAGTGAGTAGTGACGTAGAACTGTGACAAATCGAATGCAGTTTTACCAACGTAAAATGGGCTAATTTAAAAGGTTCCTAGGTTACATTATATTCAGACGCATTAACTCATAATCAACTTTATGTTTTACAGGAGAATAGTACTGTGTATTCATATGCCAACATCTGGCTTTACTTTTATTTCTTTTCAAATAATAAGGTATGGCTTTCCGCTTCGCATATTCCTGGGATAACAATACCCTTGCTGATAAAGGGCCTGTAGCTCCAGTGAGTGGGCCCTTGACTCTGCTATCCTGTCACAGGCAATACAGTGTGCTCAGTTTACACATGATATTGATCTATTTGCCTCAAGGTTCAACTATAAATTCAAGTATTCATTTTATGCATTTCCACCTTTTAGTATCTTTCTAAAAGTTTAAAAAGATTCAAAAAGACAAGGCAACAGGACTGCTAGTGATTCCAAACTGGCCGACTCAGTCTTGGTGGCCCAAATTGATGAGAATGTTACTCCAGGAGCCAATTTAGCTGCCAGTGGCAAAGTGTTTGTCGACTCAACCCAGCCAACCAAGCTTGGTTCATCCACTATATCCAAAGCTGGTTCTACTGCTATGTCAAATCTCGGGGGATTCTCCATCACCGTGTACTTTCAGGCCGGGCTGCCAAATTGGTCCTGCACTCTTGGAGAGAAAGTACACAAAAACAATACGACCCGTATATCAAACGATGGCACCTATACTCTGGTGAAAAGCAAGTTGATACAATTTCGGCAACTGTAGAAAATGGAATGAATTTTTTGTCAGAATTGTTGCAGACTGGTATTGTTATAGTGTCCTTATTACGGTAAGAAGTGCGCTGCTGTCTTATATCGTCCTCCCTGAACTAAACTATACATATTACATATTTTAAAATGTAATCACTTAATCAACTTTCTTTTTTAAAAGGGTTCTTCGGAACCAAATTTGGAATCCTTTTTTTGAGGAAAGTCGCGATTGGAAGTTGCAAGGAAATTGAGAATTGAACTAAAAAATATCAGTAGTAATGGATAATGTGTGCTTTTTTCAATAAATTTACGAATAATCCGTAAGTGTTCCTATTCTCTTTCTATTTTTAGGAACGTCAAAAAGAGCGGAAACAGCAAACCAGATGAAACGGTTAATACCGCCATATGAAACCGCTAACTTGCGGGCTCATACTGAGGTAACCGTTATGACAGTGATATTAGTAAATCCGTGATTTGGGTATCCCCGTACTTAAATCACTAGGGGTTTTGTGATTTAAGTATGGGGATATTACTCAGTTTTACTCAATGTTGTATGACGTGTAAAAAAGCCTATTGTTGTTCCCTCTAGGTCAATGGCAATCCACTGTAGGGAAACCTCTGGAACAATCGTAGTAACGGAACAAGCATAGGGAAACCTTTATCACTTGTGATTTGTGAACTTTGGGTGGTCGGGTAAGGATACTTAAAACACGGGAGCTATATTTGCTGGGACGCTTAAAACCCTAATGATTTAAGTACTGGGATACGCAAAACATGAGGATACATCATATCACTTTGACACAGTGATTGAGACATTTAACTAAAATACATCTGGAACAATAACTTCTATAGTTTTGTCCCATGACTGGCTGAAGCAAAAAATACATCTAAATTTTGTCAAGCCCCTGAAGTAATGTGTGTTTTTTTCGGCGGCCGATGTTTGCTTTGCTTCTTGGCTGTGGAAAAACGTTGAAAAATATTGATTTATTGTCGTTTTTTACACATTTGTGCTTTGAAATTGCAGCTAGCATGCCACAGCAAAATATTTTTGAGGAGAAACGTATTCATCAACAATTGAGGACGATCGATCGACAAACTAATACAACTCTACAAAACGGAACTGAATGTGAAATCATGACACACAATTTTTCCTTGTTGCTGCCTGATGCGTGGCAAAACACTATTCTTGACATGACTCGACCCATTCCCCCAACGACCTATATACTGTTGAAATCTCGATTTGTGTCTGTGTGTTAACAATTCCGTGGGGATTTTTACGGAATGAGGGGAGCGCACAATCACAATAAAGTAGAACCTTTATTTGATTTTAAACGTCTGGAATCTGAATAGATATGAGGCATAAACAACGTCATACTAAATGTAGGCAACTGTCATCGCAGTTACGAAAACATGCCTTTACATAAAGTAATAATACGTAAAAAACAAACAAGAATTCCAAATAATAATTACATCACTAAAAATAGGATAATTTTTCTCCATGAATCCATACTTACCTTTTAAAAAAAGACAATAAAAATCCCAAAAAATATGCGTGAACTTTTTAACTTGTTTGTAAAATTTTTCTGTCTCCATACTTGATGCCTCACATTGGTGCATACGCCATTATTTTAAAAAAGACTCTCAACTGCAATTGGCTAAAAAATTAAATTACGATCTAAAATTACGATGTATTCTATTTACCGAACCAAAGATTCGAGCTCGGAATCGAAATTCAAATCGTAAATGAACTCTGTATCCAATTTGGAATCGAACTTAGAATTGATTTTGCCTTAGATATGTCAGATAATCTCGGATTGTTTTGCATATCCCTACTCGAACCTTCTACACTTGAGATAACAACTTCAGAATACAGTCTCTTTGCCATTGTTTGAATAGCAAACGTAAAACGTTACAAGATAGAACTTATAGAAGCTATGTACTGCATGTGTACGTCATGGACGCTTATCTGAAACAAAATGTAATATGACGTAAACATGCATGCATAATGTCATTTACATCTCACAATCTCACATTCTAAAGCCTGTTTTCCACAAGCCACGCATCGTAACGTATCGTAGCAAAACGTAACATGGCGCATGCATTTTTGCGCCTATTGACCATCAATTCATAAGCACGCATGCCCCCTGTTACGTTTTGTCACGATACGTTACAATACGTGGCTAGTGGAAAACAGGCTTTAGAATGAAGTTGGGGGGCTCAATGAAAGTGTGAGTATTGCTAAAGATTGACTCATATCTTGCAGTAATTATTTACCAATAGCTAAGATATAAATAATCAATTCTAAGACAGCTAGAATACTGCAGTGGTACATTGCATTTCTTGGTTTTAAAATAAATGAAAAGTTAAAATAAAAAAGAGTTGAAAACTTGTGAACCAAAAGAGGAGTGGATTGCTTGACGGAAGCAACGCAAAAAGATGTTTGTTTCACAAGGTAAAATTTTTTTATTTTTTAGCGCTATGGAGTTTAGACAAATTTTTAATATTGCAAACACGTTGCAAATTCGTGAAAAAAGAATTTTGCAATTTGTTAAATAGCCAGATCTTTGACTCGGAGCTCCAATTTCGTATCCTTATTAGGTATCCTCCAAAATTATGATGAAAAGAAAAAAATAGTTCAAGAAATCGATTGTAACAATATTTACTATTGTATTTGCGTATAACAAAAACAAAAAAGTCAAAAAATCATAGTTGGCCACTGTGTCGTAACATCAGGGAATGGATTTTGCCCTCCAAAAATGTGTGCCGTATTTTGGACTATAGATTATATTCACTGATTATATTACGATGCCACCTCTAGTATTATTTATAATCTCTATGATCAACAACAACACTGGTCAAACTCATACACAGTTGTAAGTTTGAAGATTCTGAACAAATACTAAAGCAATAAACTTTCTTTTTGTCTCTGTCATTAGTAAAATACTAAAGCAATTTATTTCTCCAGTAATTTATTATAATAATCAAAGGTTATATGAACATTGTAAGTTTACATATTCAATTTTCAGTAGTGTTTAGCTTTAATATAAACAAATTTTACTGAGTTATAAAGTTCTGATTATTTAGAGAGTAATTCAGTGCTTATAAATAGTTTTGTGCAAAGGGTGAAATTTCAGCAATGGCTCCAAATCGTCGTTCATTCATTGAAGGAAGATATGTCCATGAAGAACTGCTTCTCATTTTAAAACACTCTACTGATTTAAGATATCCACCTTTGTCATCCCAACCTCCCATGACAACAATTGTATCTCCAGTTATAACCATTGAGTTCTATAATAACTGGAGGGGAAACGTCAACAAAATTGCTATAAATTATTAGCGCGCGGCCGCGTGGTCAAAAACATGGCGGATTTTGGTGGTCAAAGTCAGCGGAGAGACGCGGGCTCATAAAATAAAATTTTTGTCGCCCACCCTGATTTGACCACCACGATTGCGAGTATAGAAAATATCAAAACTATTTTCCTAACGTAAACACTTTTTTAAAATTTTATTTATTAAACAATCTGCAAGCTTCCGTAGTTTGCGGATGCTGAAATAGCGACAGAATAGGAAACATTTCATGACTCCGGTAAGTAGCACAATAGTAGTTTTACTATTTTGTTTTTAACACGATATTTGAAGAGTGTTTCTACTACTAAGTTTTAATTTAAAGTTATTTTGGTCCAGTCTTGTTTGTCCTTCACTCTACCGCTCGCCAGACGAGGCAAAGCAGCCAATTTTTATCGAGTTTTGCATCCATCTTGTATCATGATCAAGCTAAACTCTCGTGATTTGAATCGAGTTTACCTCCCAAAAATGGGGCAGAATTTGTTCATATTTTTTTTAAAGATGAAGGGAAAATTTACAACACAGTATTGTTGAGATCGAATGCAGTGCCATGCAAAGTGAATGAGAACTATGGTATATGACGTATAATAAAAATAACTATTAAATTGCTTGCCTGCTCAATTTGACTGACTGTATAGTGTAGACAATTATAATGGGTTTGGAAAGTTGGATTTATGCAAACAGTTTTAAAGTACTACTTAGCATTTCTGTAAATGAAGTATTTATTGTTATAGTAAACAGGTTACTACTTCAAAACCAAGATAAAAGTACTGTGTTGAACAATGTGCTGAGATTTGTTTCTACCTTGAAATTTTTGTTCTACAGTAGCTTATGATAATATCATTATTATGCATGAAAAAATAAACATATTGTCTCATCTCAACAAATCCATACTTGGTACGATTCCAGGTGATCCCCAATATGCGTTTCTCTACCGTCGATTTTCTTTATTTTGATGTGTGTGTATACTGTGTTTTTCACGCAATGCTGAAGCATTATTTTCACATGATATGCTGTCGGTATCGTAATTGTTTTTTCTCACTTGTTATCGTTCATATAAGAAATCAGGAGGGAGTGAATATTGAAAAAAAATTTTAAAGTGGAAGTTTTGACCACCAAAATCCGCCATTACCACCATGTTTTTGACCGCGGGGTCCAGGCCCCTTCTCCCCTCCAGGTCTTATAGAACTCAATGGTTACGATACGTGGCTAGTGGAAAACAGGCTCTAGAATGATGTTGGGGGGCGCAATGAAAGAGTGAGCACTGCAAAAGATCGACTCATATTTTGCAGTAATTAGTTACCAATAGCTAAGATATAAATAATCAATTCTAAGACAGCCAGAATACTGCAATGCTGCATTGCATTTCTTCGTTTTAAAATAAATGAAAAGTTAAAATAAAAAGGAGTTGAAGATATGTAAACCAAAAAAGAAGTGGATTGCTTGACGGAAGCAACGCAAAAAGATGTTGTTCGTTTCACAAGGTAAATTTTTTTTACTTTTTAGCGCTATGGAATTTAGACAAGCGAATTTTTAATATTACAAACACGTTGCAAATTCGTGAAAAAAGAATTTGGCAATTTGTTTTAAATAGCCAGATCTTTGACTCGGAGCTCCAATTTCGTATCCTAATTAGGTATCCTCCAAAATTACGATGAAAAGAAAAAAATAGTTCAAGGAATCGATTGTGACAATATTTACTATTGTATTTGCGTATAACAAAAACAAAAAAGTCAAAAAATCATAGTTGGCCACTGTATTGTAACATGAGGGAATCAATTTTGCCCTCCAAAAATGTGTGCCGTATTTTGGAGTATAGATTATATTCACTGATTATATTACGATGCCACCTCTAGTATTATTTATAATCTCTATGATCGACAACACCACTGGTCAAACTCATACACAGTTGTAAGTTTGAAGATTCTGAACAAATACTAAAGCAATAAATTTTCTTTTTGTCTCTGTCATTAGTAAAATACTAAAACCATTTATTTCTCCAGTAATTTATTATAATAATCAAAGGTTATATGAACATTGTAAGTTTACATATTCAATTTTAAGTAGTGTTTAGCTTCAATATAAACAAATTTTACTGAGTTTTAATGTTCTGATTATTTAGAGAATAATTCAGTGCTTACAAATACTTTGGTCCAGAAGGTAAAATTTCAGCAATGGCTCCACGTCGTGGTTCATTCATTGAAGGAAGATATGTCCATGAAGAACTGCTTCCCATTTTAAAACACTCCACTGATTTAAGATCTTCACCTTTATCATTCTCACCTCCCATGACAACAATTGTATCACCAGTTATAACTGCACAACACTTATATCTCTTTTCCAACATGGATGGTAAGACTGTAATCTTTCCTGTTTTGCTGTTATACATGATAACACTGTTCAAATTTTCTTTTCCATCACGACCTCCAAGAAGAACAACTTGATCTCTCCAATGAACTGTTGCCATTCCATACAATGCATTAGGTAATGGAGGCATTTCCTTACATGTAAGAGTCCTTGGATTAAATTCCAAAACACTGGACAAAACTTTTCCATCTTTTCCATATCCTCCAAAAATAAGAACTTTATCATCAACAACAACAGCTCCATGGGCATCCCGTGGTTCAGGCATATGACACAACTCTTTCAAAACATAAGATGTTGTACTTGTAATATGTATTTCACTAACTTCATCCAATGTTGTATTTTTATCATAATCATATCCTCCAATGTGAAAGATTTGTTTTTTACAAACAACAGTTTGGTGCTGGCAACATTTATAAGGAAACTTTGTGGGAAATGTCTTCCATGTCAAAGGTAACTTTTTTATATTCATTGTCTCTATTGACTTGCAATCAAATCCTCCAACAACAAATAAATTATCATTATAAATAAATGATGAAGCATAACTGTGTTCATTTTCCATTGATGCAATGTTAAACCATTTCTTCTCATTGCAGGAAAATATTTCAACCATTTTTGAGAAATCATATGGATAACCTCCAGCAACCAAAATATCAAATTTTACTGAGTTCATCAACATTTCAACTGATGATGTCGATGTTTGAACATGTTGTTCATTTATATTCATCTTTTCAAACATTTGAAACATCATGGCTTTCATTTCTTTCATTTCTTTGGTCACTGTAGAAAGGTTTTGTTGAACATCTTTTATTTCCTGGGTCACGGTAAAAGGATTTTGTTCAACATCTTTTATTTCTTGTCTTGATTCCATCATTTCTTTCTTTAATTCCATTATTTCCTTCGTAGACCGACCAGATACATCATTAATTTTTTTATTTATTTCAATTCTATCTTGATCCATTTTTTCATTTATTTTAACCATCTGCATTTTCACTGGATCAAAACTTTTTTGAAACATTTCTCTAATCTCTTCAATATAGTGAGAAGGAATCTTTCTGTATTCACATAACTCAGTTTCATGTTTAATCTTGTCTCGTTTGTTTATCTCCTTGTCACAACGTTCATTAGAACACAACACTGGAGCAAAGCCACAACTTTCAACATGTCTTTCAAGATCTTCGACGTTTATAAATTCCGGACAACCACGACTAACGAAGTGGCAGTTGATGTTTAACTTAGAAATCAAGTTATTTATAACACGCGCTGGAAGAAGTGTAGCTACAGTTAAATCATCTTGACATTGAGGACATCTTTGTGCATTAACTCGTAGATGTTCTTCAATACATTCACGACAAAAGATGTGTTCGTTATGCTGACACATTCTTGCGTCTTTAACGACGTTGAGACAAATTGCACAGCGAAAATTTTCATCAACAGCATTCTTAAATCTCGATTCATCATAACCACATTCATAATCATTAGGACGATAAGCCATTTCATTCGTTTTCCCGTATAATTCAGTGTTAAGATGAATTTAAGAAGTGACGAAATTATTTGTTTATCGCAACAAGTTGAAGATAGAAAATACGTTGAAATTCTCCGTCGACGTTTGATAAACACGGAAGTTAAAAGCGAAGAATAACAACGCCTTGTTTTAATTTTAACATATTTATGTAAAGCAAAGGAAAACGAAAGATAAAAGAAAATAGTGCAATGAAGCAGATCTACAAAAGACATAAACAATATTTTAAAACATACGTACATTGCGCACACGTGCTTTGCTTTTCATACGCTGTCGGTTGAATAATTTTCTACTTGCTATCCATGCCTTCACCACACACCTCAATCAGGGGCGGATCCAGGCTGGTGCAACTGATGCGAGTGCATCAGTCATAAAATTGAATAGTTAATCTTTCACAACATATTATAACTTACAATCAATACGAGCAAAATGCAAGAAATATATCAGATTGGAACGTTTATAGTTTCTAAATGCTTTAAATACCTTAACACTGACAATATATTGACAACAAATGTACATTGATGATTGAGAAATATTGTTAAAACCTTCGTCGATTGTTTACATGTGAGTATCATTTTGATTACAGCCGCATTATTAAAAAATGCGTCGCTAAATATGGCGTTTTTATGTGTCGAAATTTTTAGCGAAAAATTTGTTTCATCATCCAGCTACACTGAGCTGAATTTGTATTACTACGTCACGGTGGCTAGATAGTGAATCACTACGTCACGGTGGGGAAAAAGTGCACCAGTTGGTGCAACAGTCCCGAGTCTCTTTGGCCGAGTGAACCACCTAAACGTCACGAATTTCATTGTTTTTTAGCCTACGTCACGGTGGGAAATCGCTGCTGACTGTTGCACTTAAGCCCACGAACACCAAAATTTCATTCTGACTGGTGCACTTGAGCCAGCGTTATAAATCTTCAAACCTTCAAAATTATAATTACATGACTATCGCATTTGGCTTATTTATATCTTGAAGTCATCATGGCTGAAAGTAGGCAATATACGATTTTGGCTCATTGATTCAAGACAGTTAAACCAGCGAGATTTCTTCTGTAAGAAAGGATTATGAAGCAAAAGTCTCTGCTGCCATTCCGACTAAAACAGACCTGTTTCGAAAAGGAAAGCTGGCGAGAGATCTTAACGCAGAGTTGATTATCCCTAACCATATGGGAGATAATTGGCGGGCTTTAAAGTAAGTAGCTTGAAGTGCTTACTGCTTACTATGCTTGACATTGTAATGCATAGCTATAGGTCTATACTTGTACTTATGTAATGCTCATGGCTTACTCTCTTTAATGTTAGGAATATGATGGGAAGGGGCACATGGGGTGTTTATTCCCTGTTGAATTTATTTAAATTTCAAAGCATCCTGACCTGCATTAACCTATTAAATCGAAATTTACTGTATTCTATTTTACAATGTCAATTTTCAAACTCCATGTCCAATATTGTTGGCTCAATGAAATTTAGCCAGTAGTATAATGCAATGCTTTGGATTTATGCCATAACTAGTGTGCACATAATTATGCATGTTGTTGTGCCAAGTTTAGAAAGTGTCATATAACATAAGATCACAAAACATTTTAGTCACAACTATATGTTTGAATTTGGGTATTCCTGCATATTTATATTTGGGTATTCCTGCATATTTATATTCTTCGGAATAAAGTCACTGGTAGAAGTCTCTACGTACTTCCTGGAGAAATCACCACTGTAATTCTGAACACATGGATATTGTGATTTCAAAGTTACTTAATATACATAAAAATTTAAGAGCTAATAATTTAATATTACATTACTTCAGGATATTTCATAGATATTTAAATATTCCATGTAATATGTTGTAATATGTGCTCAATGTGACAGACAGAGAGGGCACATTTTTCATACATTTTGCTTGTATATAAATACTAACTTTCTGAGCTATGCAATGTGTTGAATGTAAGAGCTATGCTGGACCAACCATGTTATTCATTAGAGTTTTTCATTTTCAAATTGCATGCCTAATATTGTCAATTCCCTGAAATTTAGCAAAGCAAACTGTAATTACATATTATTTCAGCCACAACAATTCCTTATTATTTCTTCCACACCTAGCTTGATAATGACTTTCATATGAAGTTGAAATATTGCTTTGAATCTTCTCTGTTGCTGTTATAACTGGAATCTTGAGTTTACAAGATGATGTTTTTTTGAGTGTATGCTCTCATTTACAATCATGCACAGTGTGACAAATTTCTAAATTTACCATAAAACATTATGATCACAAAAGGGTGGGTACATAGCAAAGCATTTCATTTACATAGATTTGATGTTACTGTATTGTCTTTACATGATTATTATTATCTCAAAATTACCCACTATACATAAAGATACTAGAGCAACAGTTCTATATTGTAATTCTTTAACATATTTCATTGTATATTACATCACCATATTTTATTTTTGCATATGTGCATATGTGTATCCTGATCCTTATGTATAGAAGTCCTCACCATTGCTATTTGATTAAAGCTAGGAGGGCACATAGTATTAGCTATTAGGTACGTACTTATACTCCCCTTGAAAGCTGGTGTCATGAATTTGGTTGGGAAAGTATAGCACTGACATTACCATGCTTAGATTCAATTATCTAAAAAAATATTTATGGATTGTTAAAGGCAACCCAAAAAGTTACACTTTAAGGCTTGATGAATGTTCCCCTAAAAGGCTTTTCTTTATCAACATAGAGTCAATAGTGATTTTATTCAATAGACTTTCTAATTTTTATTGCTTGTGTAGAACTAGAGGTGACGGTAACTGCATGAACATTTCTTTGCTATGTCTACGTATCTTTTTCTGCTGTTGTTGGACCAGTGGTATGAAGTGTGATTAATGGTCAAAAACTTGTGCTTCATTTGTGAGATATAAAAGGCTTCTTTGCGTTTCACGACAAAAAATATGCCAAGCTTCTACCTTTTCAAAATCACTCGTGGATTGGAATGATACCTTCCTGATTGTAAGTTTTGGCGAAGGTATGAAACTTGATAAATCTGATAGTAGTAATGAAAATGTTTAAAGGTTAGTGGAATTTTAGATTTTATATCATTGAAATTTGCGAAAAGTTTACAAACTAAGTAAAGCCAAGTTTTTTTTAAATTCTGTTGTCAAAACGCAGGAAATCGCATTTCCGACGGTCTAAAATATAAAATTTTCCGGGGGGCATCCTCCCAGACCTCCCTACAGAGCTAGCGCCTTTGGCGCTCCCAGTGGTGCATCAGTCACGAAAATTGCTGGATCCGCCCCTGACGTCAATAAACTTTTGATCCATTTTTCCATTTATTTCATTCATCTGCATTTTCACTTTGTCAACATGAACAAAACTTAGTTGAAACATTTCTCAAATCTCTTCAAAGTCGTGAGCAGCAATCTTTCTGTACTCACATAACCCAGTTTCATGTTTAATTTTGTCTTGTTTGTTTATATCCTTACCACAACGTACATTTGAGCACAACACTGGAGCAAAGCCTCAATTTTCAACATGTCTTTCAAGATCTTCGACGTTGATAAATTCAAGACAACCACGATTTGCGTGGTTTCAACTGATCTTGAACTTAAAAATCAAGTTATTTATAAGACTTGCTGGAAGAAGTGTATTTATCTACAATCAAATTATCTTGATATTGAGGACATCTTTGTGCATTAACTCGTAGATGTTCTTCGATACAGTAACGACAAAAAATGTGTTCGTTATGTTCACACATTATGGCATCCTTAACGACGTTCAGGCAAATTGAACAGTAAAAAGTTTCAACAACAGTATTCTTAAATCTTGACTCTTCCTATCCACTTTCATAATCTTTAGGACGACAAGCCATTTCATATATCTTTACATATAATTCAGGATCAAAATTAATCAAAGATTTGACAAAATTATTCGTTCATCACTGCAAGTTGAAGACAGAGAATATGTTTAAATTTGCAGTCGACATTTGATAAACACGGAAGAGGCAAAGATTAACAACCCTTAGTTTTGTATTCATTTATATGTGAAGCAAAATAAAGACAAAAAAGATAAAATTATAAATATTCTAACAGGGGGGGGGGAGACAAACATGATGAATTTAATAATTATCATGTTGAACGTCACCGATTATAATTTCAATCTACTAAATTCTTAGACTTTGCCATTCCTAAGCAATTTTGTGTGGATTATTTCATATTTTGCTCATGTTATTCGCTTGAAATCTGGTATGTCATTGCATTGCTTTTCATCTATGTTATGCTAAAACCTACTTTTATATTTCTGTTGCGATTAGGGATGAAAAACCTAAATAAATGATCAAAACATTCACACAGAAATTCGCAAGAAATTGCATATGAAACAGTCTATATTGGCTATATTGGATGAAGAATCCTTCTCCCTTTATTGCTCTTGGAAATTCCAGCAAATCGTTCTGTTTTTATGTTTTTATTTAACGTAGAAGTTTGATGTATCAAATTGTGCTTTCGGTTTGGAACAAGTTGAAGGAAATGTTTTCCATGCTTTACTAATTGTGTTTGAAACTTTTTGCACGTAAACATCAACGATTTTTACAGTGAAATATGTAGAATGAAGTTCTTATCAGTGTAGTCATGCCTACAGATGAATTCTAAGCATTTATTATCGACATTGAGCATTTTAGCGAATGTTCGATTGTATGCTTCAATTGTAGATTATTTCTTTTCAGGGTTGGCTGAACATATAAAATGAGTATTTTATACCTCTAAATTTTAATTAATAAGGATATTTACCGAAGTAAAAACGCTAAGTTCTTTAAAATAACATTAAATAACATGTGAACAAAAGCTTTGATGGTATAGACATCAATAATTGGACTTGAATTTGAATTTATATTTGTATTTATAAAACGTGAACTCTTTTTTTGTAACAGATATTGTTAAATTACAAAGGTTCTAACTAATGAAAAACCATATAACTAATACTATAAGTATATATTTTTATACAAACAATATTACATAGCTATTCCTTAATTTATACTACCAATAAAACAATTTAAACTGGTATCTACTTACTTACTTCAATTCATACTTAAAAAGACATTATTATTATTATTATTATTATTATCTTTATTTTAAAGACATTATTTATTGTTAAAAAGACATTTTTAAAACGTTCAGTCTTAAAACAAGAATGTTTGTAAGATCCACAACTTCTCATATCACCATGAAGAGGTATTCTCTTTGATGAAAGATCATGGACAGCATGTAGACTTGCATTATTTATTGTGGCTAGCTTTTCAATTTGCTATCACTGGTTTTAATGTGCATAAAAGGAAGACTACATTTGTATATATTTAGAACAAGTATCATCATGAATGAATATTGATTTTTAAAGCAAAAAATGTTTTCCCCTTTTTAGTGACGAGCTGCCAAATATCACTGCATCATTATTCTGCTATATGGCCACTGTAAGGAGAGATAAAATGTAAATCTGTATTCATTCAATGATACAAGCCATCATTTTAGAAATAATACAAAATACATATGCGCAAAAGATTATGCTTGATACATTATGCAACATATAGGTATTACAGGAAGACGTTTCGCGAATATTTTGCTTCTGTTATTGTCAAAACTTTACATATTCATGGATTTGGGAAAATTTAGGAATGTTATTTATATGAATTTAGGTTTCATACTTCTCCTTATTTATATAATACTTGCAACACTATCCTCTGTTTTTTTTATCTTATAAAACTACTACTAAATGGTTTTCATTTGTTTAGATGGCTTGATTGACCAATTAGGAATGTTGCTCATCATAACAAAAGCGTAAAAATCACATGGCTCAATTTTGAAACATTCATGCTCCCCCATGTTTGGATAAGGCCATACAAATACTGAAATGGTTTAATCACTTGAGCAAAGTGTACGCCTTAGCTGGCGTCTTGTTCTATGAAGCTTGTCTTACTGACACTTTTTAAAATATAAATTGTAGAAATGCTGTCATGTGAAGCTCCTGATGCTGAATGCATCACATCTTTAGCTGGTGTTATAAAGACAAAAGAAGGTATTTCTTATACAAGATACAATACTGCTATCATCTTATTTTGCTTTATTTCAAATCATAATCAGTTAGAATGACATGTAGCTACAACCATCCTGTTAGATATGTACACAGAGTTACAGGTGCATTTAATTACTTCAAGATAATTTGTAATGTAATTCGTAAAAAATCAGTTTCAAATGTAACAATAAGTTAAAAAAAGAGTGTGATTTTCTTGCTTTGTTTAGGTTTTTAAGTTTTTTAATAAAATGGTTAAAAATTGTTAAGTCATCGTTTTTGCATGATAATGGCAAAAATATGGTACTGGGCCAATATCACAGAAATAAGTATATTTACGTACAAAGTATAATTTTTTCTGAGGCAAGTTCGTTTTTTCAGGCGCAGGTTACTGCACCAATCACAGATGTTATCACAGGCGTATAAATTGTGTTTTAATAACAATTTTGTCTTTCAGATGTTCCTGAAATGTCGAGTGAGAATGATATGTCCAAAATATATTCCGATGATGAAGATTCTGATGAAGATGATTTTGATACCAAATTTACAAGAGGATTTGACGACTTTTACCGTATTCGCAAAGACGTCACTGAAAAATTAAAACAGTAAGTAAAAATCCACTTGAGACTTGTAAATAATTTTTAAAAATGCTTGCAAAGGTTTCTTGTCCAAGCATAAGATACATTCAATTATAAGTTGTATTTACATTTAAAAAGTCGTGAAGTATAGCTACGTAATTAAGCACGACAAACGTTTTCTGTAAAATATAGAATGAATTCAACCATTTCCCGCACTTATGATTCAAAGCAGTGACTGACGCGTGTTTAATTGTTCTGAAGAACGTTTTTTTATTCAATTTATTGCTTTTAAAAACATGTGATTATGAAATTTCAATTGTTATACTACGCTATATTTTAGTAAAAATCACACAGTTTACCGAAAATAAATGTCTTTTCCTACTTGATGTATGTTCTAAATAAGGAATTATTGTTTTGTAGATTTTCTTGGATAAATGGATATTGCGTGATAACATTCAACCCATAACCACGTTTGTATGTGACTGTAGTAAAGGAGAGAAAAAATGATGAAGATTCTTTGAAGAATGAGATCAACGACAAATTTGGATGGAAAGCGTCTGATTATATTGATTTTCGTTATACCAACAGCTGATTACCGACGTTTCGATATTTGTCAAATCAAGGTAAAACAAAGTAAATGTCATAATCCTATGAATGTAGGTTATGAAGGTTACTTTGGTACAGTGACAATGGTTTGCAGAAAGAATCGTTAAGAATGTACAGTACCGACCTCGAGTAACATGACTTGACTCGCGAGTATCGAATGGCGAGTGGGCGAGTGACTCGAGAGTGAGTTATTGCTTCAAATGAATAGTAGTTTTGCTCCCATGTTTCATAAAAAAATATATAACCGCTGCCTTCGAAATGTTGAACGAATTTTACTTGTCACTACACTTAAGAACCTGGAAAAAGAAATTTTTGCGAGTTATTTTATTCAGTCGCAAACAGCGAGTCACTTATTCACTCGCAAACTTCTCACACTCGAGAGGGACTCGCAACTGCATCGCGAGTGACTCGCTCAATCGCAACTCGTTCCTCTCGAGGGACTCGGAATTGACTCGCGAGTCACTTGCCCACTCGCCATTCGATACTCGCGAGTCAAGTCATGTTACTCGAGGTCGGTACTGAATGTACATCTGCTTTACGAGAGTTTAAATCTTAATGGGACTGAACCAAACCTGTTGACGATATTATTAATATCCTAGATAAAATACCTGCGTTTTACTCGTTGAACTATGATACATGAAACACTAGCTGTAGTAGATAATCCTAATTACCAAACGAAGTTAAATTTTACATCCAAACACGCGAGATTTTATCCCAGACGCGCGTCTTTACTGTTTAACGATTCTGTCTCGGCGAGTGAATTGTTTTAACGGCTGCTTTTTTGTAGAGAAAATTACAAAGCAACCGGTGTTGATTAAAAAAAGTATGAAAAACAAAAAAAGAAGGTGTTTCGGGGGTATAGTTTTTATTAAAATACGAAACTACAAAAGCATTTATATGTTTGATGT